ACATTTATGTAAAACGAGATGGAGCAGGTTTGCTTAACATCAAAATATTTTCCCTAACATTAACATGCGTAACTTAGCTGTTATCGATTAAATACAAAAAAATCAACAGAGTTAATTTTATTTATATATAAATACAAAAAAAAATCAGCAATTCATTCAACTCAATCTAAAAAAATATTCAAAACAAGCAATTTTAAGATAACACCATATGTAAAACAGTCGGCCAAGAAAACAACAACGATATTACATCTTTTTCACATATTCACACACAATCTTGATTAATAATTAAAACTAATCTTTAACATTGTTTATTATACTTCATAATATATAATATTTGTTAGGCAAACTTTCACTCGGATAAATGTAATATAAAAAGCCAACAATGAAGAATGAATGTAAGATAAAAATCCAACAATGAAGAGTAAATATAATATAAAAAGCCAACAATGAAGAATGAATGTAAGATAAAAAGCCAACAATGAAGAGTAAATATAATATAAAAAGCCAACAATGAAGAGTGAATGTAAGATAAAAATCCAACAATGAAGAGTAAATGTAATATAAAAAGCCAACAGAGTGAATGTAAGATAAAAAGCCAACAATGAAGAGTGAATGTAATATAAAAAGCCAACAATGAAGAATGAATGTAAGATAAAAAGCCAATAATGAAGAGTGAATGTAATATAAAAAGCCAACAATGAAGAATGAATGTAAGATAAAAAGCCAACAATGAAGAGTGAATGTAAGATAAAAAGCCAACAATGAATAGTAAATGTAATATAAAAAGCCAACAATGAAGAATGAATGTAAGATAAAAAGCCAACAATGAATAGTAAATATAATATAAAAAGCCAACAATGAAGAATGAATGTAAGATAAAAAGCCAACAATGAAGAGTTAATGTAATATAAAAAGCCAACAGAGTGAATGTAAGATAAAAAGCCAACAATGAAGAGTGAATGTAATATAAAAAGCCAACAATGAAGAATGAATGTAAGATAAAAAGCCAACAATGAAGAGTGAATGTAATATAAAAAGCCAACAATGAAGAATGAATGTAAGATAAAAAGCCAACAATGAAGAGTGAATCTATCTATATATATAAAATTGAATGTCTGTCTGTCTGTTTGTCTGCACTCTATAGAATCAAAAACCATACATCCAATCGCCGTGAAATTTTGGGATATTATTAGGTATATCACCGGAAAGGTTTTTGAAAAATAATTTCCTGAATATCTTGAATATCCTTAGAGTTATTTGCAGATTTGTAGATTTAACTCGCAAGCAGCGCCCCCATTGTGACGATGATAACAATATATTGATAGATTCAAATTTACGAGTTTCAAATTATCAAAATATATATATTTTTTTTAAATAAGTTTTTAGAGAATTGTTTTAACAAATGTTCGCTAGACAAACCTTTACTCGGGTAAAACCCCGGGCGAAGCCGAGTACGTTTTATAAGTTTATAGAGAATTGTTTTAACAAATGTTCGTTAGACAAACATTCACTCGGGTAAAACCGGGCGAAGCCGGGCACATCCGCTAGTATCTACTTATATATTTGCCTTATTCTGTCTGTTTGTTTGTCTGTTTGTCTGAAGCTCACGGATAGAATGCGCGCTCATTGGCTGCCAGGGAACACGTGTCCTCCCTGCCCCCCTCTAGACAACCCTGTTATTCAAAAACCATACATCCAATCGCCATGAAATTCTGGGATATTATTAGGTATATCTCCGGAAAGGTTTTCGAAAAATAATTTCTTGAATATCTTGAATATCCTTACAGTTATTTGCAGAATTGTAGATTTAACTCGCAAGCAGCGCCGCCAGACGGTGATGAAAGCAATGGGGAGGTAACGCCATCTATGTTTGATTTTTTAAACTGTTTATATTTCTGAAGAAAAATTGAGATTGAATTAAAAGGGGGGAATTGTTAGGTTTATTAATTCAAATAATTTTTCTCTGTGTAAATAATTATGTAAATATATGAATAAATATAAATTGATGATGATAATATTAGCTAGCATATGTTAATTAACAATTTGGCTACGTAGTTAGTGCCTTCTTGATCCTTTCTTGTTTTTTGTATTTCTTCTTAATCCTTAAATTTTACTTTTGTACTTTCTATGCATAAAGATAATATTAAAAAATATATTATATAACATTTTTCTCTTTTTTTACCCCCAAAAACACCAACAGGGATGGTATAGTTGCATAAATGATACAAGTTTTATAACAGGTTTAAATATTGTCAAATATAATTGGAAATTTTAGTTTAATATGTAAATTAATAGATCACACGCTCTCTATTTATAACACTATCATCCCTGTTTGTTAAGAGGGGTGAGAAAACTTTGACACTGTGTATCAAATACAGTTAAACCTGTCTATAGCGCTCCCTCTTGGGACTCACCAAAATAGGGTGTTATAGAGAGGGTCTGCTATAGACAGGTTACTTTTAATGTAAATCGCATCGTACTACGTATTTAAAATCGGGCGCTATGACCACCCAAGTCAACATTTCTAAAATATATTCGCACTCGGGTAAACCCCGGGCGTTGCCCGGGCCATTCGTCTAGTACTTATATACTTGCCTTATTCTGTCTGTGTGAAGTTCACTGTGTGAAGTTCACGGATAGATTTTGGTCAGAATGGATAAAATAAAAAAAGTGTCAAGGGATGGGAATCGAACCCACGACCTTCCGCTTACCGGGCAGATGCAATGACCACTAGGCTACCCTGGACATATTTTTCCGTTCACATTTTTATTTTTATATTTCCAAGACACACACAGTTTGGGGCGGGACGTTTCATAAGAGAGACATCCACGGCGCCAATTTATAATTGTAACGAATAGTATTTTAAATAAAACATTTTAAAAATATATACGCACTCTCGGGTAAAACCCGGGCGTTGCCCGGGCCATTCGTCTAGTATATATATAGTCACGACCGTCATGGGCCGGTTCTGTCACGGATGCGCGCGCACAGGGAGGTCACGTGCTCGCCGGCAGCCAACGGGCGCGCGCCGCCGGCATTACGTCATAGATTATAAACACAAGGTAATAAGGCCAAATAAAAAAATAGTGTGTAATAAGGCACAATTTGGATTATCTACTTATATAATTGCCTTATTCTCTCTGTGTGAAGTTCACTGTGTGAAGTTCACGGATAGATTTTGGTCAGAATGGATAAAATAAAAAAGTGTCAAGGGATGGGAATCGAACCCACGACCTTCCGCTTACCGGGCAGATGCCATGACCACTACGCTACCCTGGACATATTTTCCGTTCACATTTTTATTTTTATATTTTCAAGACACACACAGTTTGGGGCGGGACGTTTCACAAGAGAGACATCCACGGCGCCAATTTATAATTGTAACGAATAGTATTTTAATTAAAACATTTTTAAAATATATACGCACTCGGGTAAAACCCGGGCGTTGCCCGGGCCATTCGTCTAGTATAATATATATAAAATTCAGATGAAACTAAGAGAAAAGAAAATAATTTACGGAATTATTTATTTTAATATTTCACCTGAATATATTTTAAAAATGTCTAACATCTCTCTTGCAATTTAAACGTTTCTTTCGAATAATAAGAACTATAGAACGACTTTCAACAAGTTTCACCGGAAATGTTTTTTTTTTTTTTACAGAACAAAAAATAGTAATTTTCATTATTTAAGGATAAATAGCGACTATTCCTATCCTTAGGGATGAAGTATGAAAGGATGAATTGTGAAAGGTAATGATGGATGGAAAAATAAGTGTCCAGGGATGGGCATAGAAAACGTCAGGAAAATTTTGATATGGCCTAAGACTGGCTGTTGTTTCATTGAGCAGGTTTATGTTCTAGTATATAGATATATATTAATGAAACACACAAAAATCGTATCTTATCAAAATAAATTTATAATGAATTTCGAAATAAAATATTTTAAAGGTAATATATCTCTCTGATAAAATATAGCAATGAAATATATAATATTACTAGCGGATGTGCCCGGCTTCGCCCGGGTTTTACCCGAGTGAATGTTTGTCTAACGAACATTTGTTAAAACAATTCTCTTTAAACTTATAAAAGGTACTCGGCTTCGCCCGGGGTTTTACCCGAGTAAAGGTTTGTCTAGCGAACATTTGTTAAAACAATTCTCTAAAAACTTATTAAAAAATAAAAAAGATATATTTTGATAATTTGAAACTCGTAAATTTGAATCTCTCGATTAAGTGAACATTTTTTCCCGGTCCCTGTGTGCCTTGTCATCCTGAATTTTGTCTTTCCTAATTTTCTACATTAGAAAATCATAGTTTTATCTAGTGAACATTTTTTCCCGGTCCCTTGAGAAATACTCGATAAGTTGAATAAAATCAATATTAATTGGTTCCCTCGGTAATTGGAAGTTAAAGGAATAGTATCTTCGCCTTGGAATTGTATCATTATTCTTGTCGCAAATAAATTGCCGTGTCACCCTGAGATAATCTTACTTTTGATAAATAATATTTAAGATAACAAACTTAGTGATAAGAAAACTTGTTATCATCGTCACAATGGGGGCGCTGCTTGCGAGTTAAATCTACAAATCTGCAAATAACTCTAAGGATATTCAAGATATTCATGAAATTATTTTTCAAAAACCTTCCCGGTGATATACCTAATAATATCCCAAAATTTCACGGCGATTGGATGTATGGTTTTTGAATCTATAGAGTACAGACAGACAGACAGACATTCAATCCTTCCTTATATATATATAAAAATGAAATGCGAAATTGATGTTTGTTATCGCATCACGCAAAATCTACTGACTCAATCATTATGGAATTTCGCAGGTAGGTAGCTGAAGATTTCGTTTAACATATAGGCTATTCAAAAAAACTAAAAAAGTTAATGTGCTTTTTTTAAAAAATAAAAAACCAAAAAGCGTTAGTTCCAGTCTTTTACCGTTAGGGCGCAGCACTGGTCGCGACGATAAATGAATTTGATTTTTTTAAAGCATCGGTGGTTCAGTGGTAGAATGCTCGCCTGCCACGCGGGCGGCCAGGGTTCGATTCCCGGCCGAGGAATTTTTTTTTTTTCAATTTTTAAAACTCATTTATATTATATCTATATTAATAAAATCCTTATTTATATATATATATATATATATATATATATAAATGAAATGCGAAATTGATGTTTGTTATCGCATCACGCAAAATCTACTGACTCAATCATTATGGAATTTCGCATGTAGGTAGCTGAAGATTTCGTTTAACATATAGGCTATTCAAAAAACTAAAAAAGTTAATGTGCTTTTTTTAAAAAATAAAAAACCAAAAAGCGTTATTTCCAGTCTTTTACCGCTAGGGCGCAGCACTGGTCGCGACGATAAATGAATTTGATTTTTTTAAAGCATCGGTGGTTCAGTGGTAGAATGCTCGCCTGCCACGCGGGCGGCCAGGGTTCGATTCCCGGCCGATGCATTTTTTTTTAACAATTTTTAAAACTCATTTATATTATATCTATATTAATAAAATGCAAATTTCATAAGTGGTGTTCGCTAAAAACTTTCGTTACAATGCATCAATTTCGACCAAATTTTCAACATTTATGTAAAACGAGATGGAGCAGGTTTTGCTTAACATCAAAATATTTTTCCTTACTTTAACATGCGTAACTTCGCTGTTATCGATTAAATACAAAAAAAATCAACAGAGTTAATTTTATTTATATATAAATACAAAAAAAAAAATCAGCAATTCATTCAACTCTATCTAAAAAAATATTCAAAACAAGCAATTTTAAGATAACACCATATGTAAAACAGTCGGCCAAGAAAACAACAACGATATTACATCTTTCTCACATATTCATACACAATCTTGATTAATAATTAAAACTAATCTTTAACATTGTTTATTATACTTCATAATATATAATATTCGTTAGGCAAATTTTCACTCGGATAAAACCCGGGCGAAGCCGGGTACACATCCGCTTGTTTTATATATATACTAGCGGATGTGCCCGGCTTCGCCCGGGATTTACCCGAGTGAATGTTTGTCTAACGAACATTTGTTAAAACAATTCTCTATAAACTTATAAAACGTACTCGGCTTCGCCCGGGGTTTTACCCGAGTAAAGGTTTGTCTAGCGAACATTTGTTAAAACAATTCTCTAAAAACTTATTTAAAAAAAAAAGATATATTTTGATAATTTGAAACTCGTAAATTTGAATCTCTCGATAAAGTGAACATTTTTTCCCGGTCCCTGTGTGCCGTGTCATCCTGAATTTTGTCTTTCCTAATTTTCTACATTAGAAAATCATAGTTTTATCTAGTGAACATTTTTTCCCGTGTCACATTGCCTTTATTCTTCATTGTTGGCTTTTTATATTATATTTACTCTTCATTGTTGGCTTTTTATCTTAAATTTATTCTTCATTGTTGGCTTTTTATATTACATTTACTCTTTATTGTTGGCTTTTTATCTTACATTCATTCTTCATTGTTGGCTTTTTATATCATATTTACTCTTCATTGTTGGCTTTTTATATTATATTCTAACCAAAATCTATCTGTGAACTTCACACAGTGAACTTCACACACACAGAATAAGGCAATTATATAAGTAGATTTACTCTTCTTTGTTGGCTTTTTATCTTACATTCATTCTTCATTGTTGGCTTTTTATATTACATTTACTATTCATTGTTGGCTTTTTATCTTACATTCACTCTTCATTGTTGGCTTTTTATCTTACATTCATTCTTCGTTGTTGGCTTTTTATATTACATTCACTCTTCATTGTTGGCTTTTTATCTTACATTCATTCTTCATTGTTGGCTTTTTATATTACATTTACTCTTCATTGTTGGCTTTTTATCTTACATTCACTCTTCATTGTTGGCTTTTTATATTATATTTTTAGATTAGGATTATTAGCTAGTATGTAAAAATATTAACTCTGTTGAAATTTAATTTTGTATTTATATATAAATAAAATTATCTTTGTTGATTTTTTGTATTTAATCGATAACAGCGAAGTTACGCATGTTAATGTTAGGGAAAAATATTTTGACGTTAAGCAAAACCTGCTCCATCTCGTTTTACATAAATGTTGAAAATTTGGTCGAAATTGATGCATTGTAACGAAAGTTTTTAGTGATGTCCTCTTATGAAATTTGCATTTTAATAATATAGATAAGATAATATAAATGAGTTTTAAAAATTGTAAAAAAAAAAATGCATCGGCCGGGAATCGAACCCGGGCCGCCCGCGTGGCAGGCAAGCATTCTACCACTGAACCACCGATGCTTAAAAAATGGCCATATTTAGGTATTCATTCCATTCCGGATTAGTCCGCGTAAAAAAAATTCTTCAAATGAAAAAAAGAAATAGCCAAAAATACTAATCAAAATGCAGCCGAAAATTTTCCACAGGTTTATAAAAAGCGACATGCAAAATTTGGTACCAATTGGTTCAGTAGTTTTTGAGTTTATCGCGAAACAGACAGACAGACAGAAATTGGCTTATATATATATATATAGAGAGAGATTTACTCTTCATTGTTGGCTTTTTAACTTACATTCATTCTTCATTGTTGGCTTTTTATATTACATTCACTTTTCATTGTTGGCTTTTTATCTTACATTCACTCTGTTGGCTTTTTATATTACATTTACTCTTCATTGTTGGCTTTTTATCTTACATTCACTCTTCATTGTTGGCTTTTTATATTATATTTACTCTTCATTCTTGGCTTTTTATCTTACATTCATTCTTCATTGTTGGCTTTTTATATTACATTTACTCTTCATTGTTGGCTTTTTATCTTACATTCACTCTTCATTGTTGGCTTTTTATCTTACATTCATTCTTCATTGTTGGCTTTTTATATTACATTCACTCTTCATTGTTGGCTTTTTATCTTACATTCATTCTTCATTGTTGGCTTTTTATCTTACATTCACTCTGTTGGCTTTTTATATTACATTTACTCTTCATTGTTGGCTTTTTATCTTACATTCACTCTTCATTGTTGGCTTTTTATATTATATTTACTCTTCATTGTTGGCTTTTTATCTTACATTCATCCTTATTGTTGGCTTTTTATCTTACATTCACTCTTCATTGTTGGCTTTTTATCTTACATTCATTCTTCATTGTTGGCTTTTTATATTACATCCACTCTTCATTGTTGGCTTTTTATCTTACATTCATTCTTCATTGTTGGCTTTTTATATTACATTCACTCTTCATTGTTGGCTTTTTATCTTACATTCACTCTGTTGGCTTTTTATATTACATTTACTCTTCATTGTTGGCTTTTTATCTTACATTCACTCTTCATTGTTGGCTTTTTATATTATATTTACTCTTCATTGTTGGCTTTTTATCTTACATTCATTCTTCATTGGTGGCTTTTTATATTATATTTACTCTTCATTGTTGGCTTTTTATCTTACATTCATTCTTCATTGTTGGCTTTTTATATTACATTTACTATTCATTGTTGGCTTTTTATCTAACATTCACTCTTCATTGTTGGCTTTTTATCTTACATTCACTCTTCATTGTTGGCTTTTTATCTTACATTCACTCTTCATTGTTGGCTTTTTATCTTACATTCATTCTTCATTGTTGGCTTTTCATATTACATTCACTCTTCATTGTTGGCTTTTTATATCATATAGAAAATCATAGTTTTATCTAGTGAACATTTTTTCCCGTGTCACATTGCCGTGTCATCCTGAGATAATCTTACTTTTGATAAATAATATTTAAGATAACAAACTTAGTGATAAGAAAACTTGTTTTCATCGTCACAATGGGGGCGCTGCTTGCGATTTAAATATACAAATCTGCAAATAACTCTAAGGATATTCAAGATATTCATGAAATTATTTTTCAAAAACCTTCCCGGTGATATACCTAATAATATCCCAAAATTTCACGGCGATTGGATGTATGGTTTTTGAATCTATAGAGTACAAACAAACAGACAGACATTCAATTTTATATATATAGATTTGACGCAATTTTTCCATATAAAAAATTATGATGATA